CCAGCCTTGGCCTCCCAAAGTGCTGGGATTACAGGCCTGAGAGCGGCATGTTTTTGAGGGGCACCCATGTTGTGGCATGGATCAGTATCTATGACTAAATAGGATTCCACCATGTGGATAGTCCACATGTGTTATCTGTTCATTGGCTGATAAACATTTGGATTGCTTCCACTTTTTGATGATTATTCTTGATTTCACTTAGCCCTTCCATGAACCGGCCAGATTTCTGACAGTTACCTTTGTTTTTGCCCCAAGTGCAAAAACACAATGGCATTTTTGCCATCTTCCTGCTTGGTCTCTGTTTTTTGTTTTGTTTTTTTTTCTTTTGCCATCTTTCTGCTTGATGTCTATCTTTCTCCTGCCTTTCCCTGTTGCTTCTCCCTTTCTCTTGCCTCACTATCTGTTAGTAAGCATAAAGCACAATTCACTGGTAAGAGCCTTGAGTAACAAGCGGGAACACCTGGGTATAAGTCTGGGTTTAAGCCTGCTGTTAACTAGACCCTCTCTGAGCCATAACTTTTTCATTTAGGAGAGATCAACTAGAACACAATTTTATTCTTTTAACAGAATCATTTTCTTAAAATTTTACTTAGAATCCTGAGACATGCCAGATTAGATTGCCACAAGGTTTGAAGTGGAGGGTGGATCTTGGGGTCCTGTTGACTCTGTCCTTGAAATAGTCTGTGGACCTCAGAACTTGAGTACTCAGTTTAAAATCCCCTGGATTAGTAGAGTTCTAAGAGTATATAAAAGCGTTTTTAAAACCTCAGATGTCCTAGTCCTTTTCCAACATATCCGTATGAAAGGAATCAGGGGTTCAGGCAAAAACATTAGATATCAGAATCAGAGGACGTCCAGGACTTCTTACCTCTGTAATCTTGGGCAAATTATTTAACCCGAATCTTAGTTTCCTCAAGTGTCAATTGGAAGTGGTAATATGTACAGTGGTGACACGTCATATGCACATTTAATGTGCAGGAATTCAGGGATACAATTAGCACAGAGAGAATTTAGTTATAGTGCTGGACCTGCTATTTGTCCTCAGCTCCACTCCTCACCCTTCATCTGCTGTGTCTTGGGCAAGGGGGCTGACCCCCACAGGCTACATCTGACAGACACCCTTTCTGCTGTCTTCCAGCTATGATCCACCTACAGAAGACACCAGTAGGCAGGACTGAGATTCCTTGGCTATGGATAGCCTTAATGTGTTGGCTTTCTCAAATGATGGCTGTAGTAGTAATGAAAAGGTTATATTGACAGACTCAGGACCTCCTGGTTAGCCAGGGTAGTACAGGCAATGGTAATAGCTGAGGTCATGCACACGTTTTCTCCTTCCTGGATGCAGTGTTATTCTACCTGGAGATGATGTAGTGGACTGTGTCAGTTGACCTCCAGCCAGGAAATCGTGCCTGTCAAAGAGCACCAGCTGCAGTAGTAACATGGGAATTTGTGGAATCTACTGGAGGGCAGGAAGAAAGTCTCAGTATTTCTCCTCGTTCTTCTCTTCTTGGGTGGCTTCACTAGGAGTGGCTGCATTTCCTTTATGGCTGCAGTTCTCGCTGAACAGGCCTACCTTGTTCCAGCTTAACTTCAGTGATCCCAGCCCCTAGTTCTGGTGTAATTTCCTCCAGCCGAGGGGTGGCAGAGGCTTTCAGAAATCAGGAATGGCTGGGTTGCTTCACTGTCTTTTATTTGACTTCCGTATTAGTCCGTTCTCACGCTGCTAGTAAAGACATACCCAAGACTGGGTAATTTATAAAGGAAACGGTTTACTGGACTCACAGTTCCACATGGCTGGGGAGCCCTCACTATCATGGTGACAGGTGAAGGAAAAGCAAAGCACATCTTACATGGCGGCAGGTGAAAGAGCTTGTGCAGGGGAACTCAGATCTCGTGAGACTTATTCACTACCACGAGAACAATAGCGGGGAAACTTCCCCCATGATTCAGTTACCTCCACCTGGCCCTGCCCCTGACACGTGGGGATTATGGCAATTCAAGGTGAGATTTGGGTGAAGACATAGCCAAACCATATCAGCTTCTTAACTCTCTTCTGGACATTCCTATCCCCTGTGCAACTATTTCCGGGTAATAAAGCCCCTCTGTTTGAACACCTAGAATGGTTTCTGTTTTTCTGACTGGACCCTAATCAATGCAGCTAAACCCTTGACAAAAAAAGAGAGGAAAAGAATAAGAATCTAAACAGGTTGGGCAATTCCACTAGCCATTCCTCTCAATGAGCCTGTGCCTTGGAGTGAGGGTGAGGTAGGAGACATGGAACTCTCGCTTATTATCAAGTCTTAGTGTCCCTCATTGGGTTTTTTGTTTTGTTTTGTTTTTATTTTTGTTTTTGAGATGGGGTCTCACTCTGTTGCCCAGGTTGGAGTGCAGTGCTGTGATCTCAGCTCACTGCAACTTCCCCCTTCTGGATTCAAGCGATTCTCTTGCTTCAGCCTCCTGAGTAGCTGGGATTTATAGGCATGTGCCACCGTGCCCGCTAATTTTTGTATTTTTTTGGTAGAGAGGGATTTACCATGTTGGCCAGGCTATTCTCAAACTCCTGTCCTCAAGTCATCCATCTGCCTTGGCCTCTCAAAGTGCTGGGATTACAGGTGTAAGTCACTGCGCCCAGCCCCCTCACTGGGTTTTAAGTTGTGGAGGTTTTGGTATATCCTGGCCTCTAAAGCAAACAAACTTATTTACATAGACACAAAATTGTGTATCCTCTATTTCATGGTCAGGAGATGTTAAGAGTATGTGATTTCACCTTCCTTGTTTACTAAGGAACCCAACCCCTCATGCAAGATGAAGCTCTGCTGAGAATCACAGGGCAATATGAGAATCAGATAAAATAGTATGAGTGAAAGCACGTTATAAACTGTAAAATTTCAAACAAACATAGGACATTATTATTACTTACATTTCAAACCCCCGTCATCCAGGAACAATGCAATTTAAGTCTTTTTATAGGACTTGAGAAGTTACTTTGAAGGTTTTTTAGAGTTCTCCACTGTTTTCTGTTTTATTATTTTATTTTATTTTATTTTGCTTTTTTGGAGACAGGGTATCACTCTGTCACCCAGGCTGGAGTGCAGTGTGGTGTGATCATAGTTCATTGTCACCTTGAATTCCTAGGCTCAAGTGATCCTCCCACCTCAGCTTCCCAAAGTGCTGGGATTACAGGCGAGCTGCTGAGCCTGGCCTCTCCATTGTTTCTACAAAAAAAAAAAAAAAAGGGGAAACTAAATCATGATTCCTAGGGAAGATAAGGAGAGTGCATTTAACCTAATGGTCTCATTTCTTAACTAGAAACACAAGAAACAAAAAGTTATTTGAGCCCAGAAGTTGGAGGCCAGCCTGAGCAACATAGGGAGACCCCTGTCTCTACAAAAAAATTTAAAATCAGCTGGGTGAGGTGGCGCATGCCTGTAGTACCAGCTACTTAGGAGCCTGAAGTGGGAGGATTGCTTGAGGTCAGGAGTTCAAGGCTGTAGTGAGCAGTGATTGTGCCACTGCACTCCAGCCTGGGTAACAGGCTCAAAAAAAAAAAAAAAGTTGCATTCTTTGTTTTCCCCTGTAAAACGCATTAGAATTTACAGAATTATGAAAAGATTATCCTGTTCTTTGTTTTGGAGATGAAATCGGCATGGGAAAAAGTATGACATTTGGCTTTACTTGCTAGGTGCTCAATGTTAAGTTAGTGCTCCTGGCTGGGTGCGGTGGCTCACGCCTGTAATCCCAGCACTTTGCGGGGCTGAGGTAGGTGGATCACAAGGTCAAGAGATCAAGACTATCCTGGCCAACATGGTGAAACCCCCGTCTCTACTAAAAATACAAAAAAAAATTAGCCAGGCGTGGTGGCATGTGCCTGTAATCCCAGCTACTCGGGAGGCTGAGGCGGGAGAATCACTTGAACCCAGGAGGTGGAGGCTGTAGTGAGCCGAGATCACGCTATTGCACTCCAGCCTGGAGACAGAGCAAGACTCCGTCTCAAAAAAAAAAAGTTAATGTTTCTTAGTATTTCCCTGTATGTTTCTTCTAAAATCAATGCTAAACTTAGAAAAGAAAAAGAAGCTTACAATTTCATTATTCTCTTCTCTGAGTCAGAAAGACGATTTTTGATGATAAGATTTTCACATTGCTGCAGTAAAACACAAATTATACCGATGTGAACTAGGTCCTCACACATTTTTCCTCCCCAAATATGATCTTGTGGGCATCTATTTTGAATCGATGTCTTTTTTTAAGCCTTTATTCAAATCTTCCTTCAAATTGCTTTATGACCCCTATCTTTTAGGACCAAGGACTGAACATTCTTTTTTATTCTAAGAGGTAATGAAGCTAAGGAAGCTAACGGGACATGAATGCAAGCTGACCTGTTCAGTTACTAATTTGCATTTTACAAAATAATAACAACAATGACGGTGATGACAAGTGCCCTAAGATTGTTATCTTGAGTTTCTTAGAGTTGAGAAACCGTTGCTAGCCAAACCTCCCAAGACTCATTCCCTGGTTGTTGAGTTTGATAAATTTGTCTCTCTGGTGACACATACCTGGCTGGACCAACAGAGTGATGAAATTCTCTCCTTCTTGTCTAATTTTTCTTTTGGACTCTACTCAGCAATACATCTGAATTTCTGTGTAGGTGTCCAGCCTTTAGATTTTTCCAAGTGTTTCCAAAAATGTAATAAAACGGGCATGGTTGTTCAAGCCTACAATCCCAGCACTTTGGGAGGCCAAGGCAAGAGGATAGCTTGAGCCCAGGAGTTTGAGACCAGCCTGGACAACATGGCAAAACCCCATCTTTACAAAAATTAGAAAATTAGGAGGCGGGCTCCCGATCCAGTTCCATTCCGTTCTCCCACCACCTTCGCTGTGGGTCTCAGCAGCTCGGGCGGAGGGAGAAGTGGCAGCGGACAGGCAGCCCAGCTTCGAGAAGGCTCTTGGTGCGCCACGGCCCGCAGGCACCTGGCACGGCACGTGCCCTCCTCGCCACCAGGATGCCCAAGAGGAAGGTCAGCTCCACCTACGGGGCTGCCAAGGAAGAGCCCAAGAGGAGATTGGCGCAGTTGTCAGCTAAACCTCCTGCAAAAGTGGAAGTGAAGCCAAAAAAGGCAGCAGCGAAGGATAAATCTTCAGATAAAAAAATGCAAACAAAAGGGGAAAGGGGAGCAACGGGAAAACAGGCTGAAGTGGCTAACCAAGAAACTAAGCAAGATTTACCTGCAGAAAACAGTGAAACGAAAACTGAGGAGAGTCCAGCCTCCCTGATGAAGCAGGAGAGAAGGAAGCCGAGTCTGATGAACACCATACACCATGTCTTATCAGTGGTCTCTGTCTCCCTTCTGGTACAATCCAGAGGAATATTTTTATCAACTATTTTGTAAATACAAGCTTTTTAGTAGCTCTAGAAACATTTTTGAGAAGGAGGGAATCCCATCTCATCCCATTTTTTAAGTGTAAATGTTTTTTTTTTAAGAGGTGAAATCATTTGCTGGTTGTTAATTTTTTGGTACAACCAGAAAATAGTGTGGGATATTGAATTATGGGAAGCTTTGACTGTCTCTGGTGTCAGCTTAACTTTCCATAGATGGGGGGTTAGTTTTCATATCCTATAATACAAAGCATATTAAATGGCAATATGGAGTCAGTCCTGCATTTAATGTCTTGAACATTTTAAATTACTTCTATTCCCATGTTGTTTTTTAGTAGAATTGCTTCCTAAAGAAAACCACTCTTTTTTTACGGCTCTCCCTGTGAGAATTATGTGCAATCTGCAACTTTGGTTGTGGTAGTCCTGATTTCCTAATAACTTTGTTACTGTACTGTGAAAGATTAAAAATTTGAATATGTAGTGTACACGCTATTCTAGTTGTGAATTGGTGGGATGTATGTAAGAGCTTATCAACATGTGAAGATACTGGTACCTGATAGCCTCTTAAGGAAAATTTGCTTCGGAATTTCAAGCTGGGAAATCACTGGAATAACTTTAAAAATGAATTATAATTCATGGCTTTTTAGATTTTTGTTGCGTATATTAAGAATTGTCTGTACTGATCCTCAATCAATAAAATCTCAATTATGAAAGAAAAAAATAAAATTAGCTAGGTGTAGTGGGGTGCACCTGTAGTCTCAGCTATTGGGAGGCTGAGGTGGGAGGATCACTTGAGCCCAGGAGGTTGAGGCTGCAGTGAACTATGACTGTGCCACTGCACTGCAGCCTGGGAGACAGAGTGAGACCCCGTCTGAAAAAATAAAATGAACAGCCCCAAATCAGTGTTTTGAATAGTTTGAAATCAGTCTTATCTGTTGAGACAAGCACTGATGGATGTTGCTAGATTCCTGCCACCCCGTGTGTGTGTGTGAGGGGAAGGGATGCTGGGGGAAGGTAAGGATGGACACAGACAGGCAGGGCCTGTTCTGTTTTTCACAGGGCTGAATCTTGCAGCACATGCCATGTAATCAGGCTAAGGACAAATAATCCCTATGAATAAATTTATAGTGAATTGACCTACATTTCACATTAGATAAAACACACTTAAGTCATTAAATGAATTTTTCCCTCTGGTTCATTAGTTCCCAGCATGCTCTGATCCTCTGCTCATTTGTCATATGGCTCATGAAAGCTGAATATGGGAAAAAGAAACTAAATCACTGCATCTGTCCCCTTACCAGGTCAGGCTATGTTCCCCATGTTCCCCACAGAGGAGTTATTACGATGTTGGAGATTGACTGGTTCTGCGGTTGATCTTGGCTAAGAGACTGAGAAGCTACACTCGACATATCGGCCTTGTGGCGTTCTGCCAAGCACTGCGCACATTAGCAATGATGTGCCCGTGCTCACATTACCCAGGAGTCATCTGATGCTGAGAGCTTAGATTCAGCATTATGAGAGCTCTCGAGAATGGGTCTCATCAGAGTTCTGAGCAGCAGGGTTGATGAGTAAAGAGGCTGGCCTTTAAAAAAACTCTCACTTGAAGCTCAAACCTTCAAGTTTTCCTTTCGTCTCTGGAGATACTCACTGAGTAAAGGTGTTGTAGAGGGAACCATTGTGGGTCAGCCCCAAATAGTATTTGCCGTGGCATGTAGGTCCAAGTGGACCTATTTTTTTTAAAGGTGATGTCATTCTTGGTGTGGAACTCACGGTATTTCATGAAGCTGTTGGTCTGGCTTTGGAGAGTCTGAAAAACAAGTCAACATTGTAACATTAGCCATTCTAATGAGCCTGGGACCAGTCGAGTGCAGGATTTTAATACATAAGGGCCAACATACAGTAATGCTCTAGGGTAGAAACAGGAGCTCTGAACAACAGAAAGAAGGAGAGTAGCAAGAACAAGGCTGACTATGTGTCATCAATGGCTGCCCCCAAAGCTCATGGGATCTTAGTTGGCATTACTAGAGTTATGGACAATGGAAAGAAGGTGCACTGGGGAGACTGAAGCTATGATATTTGTCCAGCATTTTGGCCAATATTTTAAGAGGCAAAGTGGAACATGTTCAGGGTAAGTAATACAAAAGATGCCATATAAAAAATGATTCTATCTAAACAACATATACTAAGCCAAACCCAGAGCTGAGGGCTACAGATAACAGAAATGTAGGTGACACCTTCCCCACTCTCAAGGAGAGTTAGTAATGGCTTTCAGTCAGTTAGTAGTGGCTGAAAGAATGTAAGATTCATAGTTAGGTAAAAAGGAAACTCTATATGCTCAAATATTTTAAAAGCAATCATATGAAAGAGGATTAGTCCTGCTCTCTGTGTTACTGAGGCGGAATTAAATCCAGTGGGTGAAAGCCACAAAGACTCAGTTTAGCTCAGTATGAGCTGAAATTAACAACAGTGAGAGGAATTTAAAGGTGCAATGGACAGCTCAAGGGAGTTGTGAGATCCTGCTTCTCAGATGTTTAACAAGAGGCCTGGCTTGGCACCGTGGCTCATGCCTGAGACCCCAGCACTTTGAGGGGCAGAGGTGGGAGGATCAGTTGAGCCCAGGAGTTTGAGGCTGCAGTGAGCCAACATCACGCTACCGCACTCCAGCCTAGCGAGAGACTCTGTCTCTAAAAAAAGAAAAAGAGCAGGCTGGTCTGGCGCAGTGGCTCACGCCTTGGGAAGCTGAGGTAGGTGGATCACTTGAGCCCAGGAGTTTGACATCAGCCTGGGCAACATGGCAAAACCCTGTCTCAACTGAAAATATAAAAATAAGCTGGGCGTGGTGGCATGTGTCTGTAATCCCAGCTATTTGGGAGGCTGAGGCAGGAGAATTGCTTGAACCCAGGAGGCGGAGGTTGCGGTGAGCTGAGATCACGTCACTGCACTCCAGCCTGGGAGACAGAGCAAGACTCCATCTGAAACAAACAAACAAACAAAAAAGAAACAAAAAATAAAAATTAGCCAGTTTCATAACGTGGTCTCAAAATAAATAAATAAATAGATAAAATTTTTTAAATTAATTTTTTAATAATAATTAAGAACAGGCCTGATGACCAGTAGTAGAGGTGGTGACTGGCACATATACCCCCCTATTCATTCACTGTTTACCCTACTCCATACCAGTGCACCAAGTACATTCATGTGTTTCAATTTTTTTTTTTTTTTTTTTTGAGACGGAGTCTCGCTCTGTCGCCTGGGCTGGATGGAGTGCAGTGGCCAGATCTCAGCTCACTGCAAGCTCCGCCTCCCGGGTTTACGCCATTCTCCTGTCTCAGCCTCCCGAGTAGCTGGGACTACAGGCGCCCGCCACCTCGCCTGGCTAGCTTTTTGTATTTTTTAGTAGAGACGGGGTTTCACCGTGTTAGCCAGGATGGTCTCGATCTCCTGACCTCATGATCCGCCCGTCTCGGCCTCCCAAAGTGCTGGGATTACAGGCTTGAGCCACCGCGCCCGGCCGTGTGTTTCAAATTTTATGGATATAGTGGTGAGCAAAATCAAAGACCCTTCTCTCATGTAGCTTATACCTCCTGGGGAGAGACAAACATGAATCGAACAATCACAGGAGTGTATGTAAAACTGCAACTGGGAAAGTGTTTGATGGAAAGGCCCATTGGATGTTACAAGAGCAGATAAAAGGGTGTTTGACCTATCACGGGAGGCCGGAGATATCCTTGATGAGAAACCCTCAACTGAGCTGAGATCCACAGGCTGGGTTGGGGTATAGAAGGGTGCTCCAGGCAAAAAGGACAGACTACGCAGGGTTCTATGGTAGGAAGAAAACTCTTAGATAACAAGGAGATGATTCTCAATGACATTTAAAGTCTCTTTCTTTTTACAAATTTTTATCTATTTATTGAATAGGTAATTCATAAATTGAACAAATTTCAAAGGTATGAAAGGGTACAGAGTGAACAGCAAGCCTCCCTTACTGCTCAGACCTTCTAGAGACAATCACTCTTGCCAGGTTTTTCTGGTCCTCCTAAAGGTATTCGATGCATCAACTAATATTCCTTTTTCTTCCCTCCACAAAATTGTAGTACCCTCTACACCATTTTACATCTTGCCTTATTCTCCTAACAATGTATCTGAGGCTCTCTCAGCACATTCACAGGTACCCTGCAGGTGTTTTAGCAGCCACACAGCAATCCAGTGAAGGAGGCACCATAGTTGAGTTAGCCTCTCCTCTACCGAGGCCATGTAGGAGAACTGCAAGCAAAACAGCAGTGAATATCCTTGTATGCACAAAATTTTGCAAATCTATGATTGTCTGTAATGCAAACTTAGGTTTTCTTCTTTATGTTGTGTCTGATTACAATAGTAATACATGCTTACAGGAAAATATTTGCAGAAATATATAATGCAGAATGTGAAAGTACTCAAGAATCTCACCTTTCATAACCACTATGGCTATTCGTTTGTCCAGATGATTTCTAATCTAGAATAATTGAAAAAGAAGGGGCATGTCGCACGCAGAGCATAAGGCAGATTCCAGAATCTCTCCCACTCTATGGTTTGGAGTTCACATGGAGAGAAGCTGTAATTCCTCCCAGAGGGTGCTGATGCATTCCTCTACTATAATAACTGTTTCTCACTTGGATTCTACAGATGACTTTGGGATACAAATTAATTTGTCAATGAAGGTGTATTTTCCAAGTAAGGGATCTAAAACTTTCATCAGATTCTTTTTTTTTTTTTTTTTTTTTAAAAATGTGTTAAAATGCATACACCGTAAAATTTATCATTTAACCCTTTTTTTTTTTTTTTTTTTTTGAGACAACTTTCCCTCTTGTCTTCCAGGCTGGAGTGCAATGGCATGATCTCGGCTCACTGCAACTTCTGCCTCCCAGGTTCAAGTGATTCTCCTGCCCCAGCTTCCCAAGTAGCTGGGATTACAGGTGCCCGCTACCACACCTGGCTAATTTTTGTATTTTGAGTAGAGATGCGGGTTTCACCATATTGGCCGGGTTGGTCTCAAACTCCTGACCTCATGTGATCCTCCCTCCTCTGCCTCCCAAAGTGCTGGAATTACAGACGTGAGCTGCCGCGCCTAGCCTCATCTAATTCTTCAAGGGGTATATGACCCCCCACCAAAGTTAAGAGTATCTACTACTAGAAAGAGCCATCAGATAAGTTTCCTTTTTCATTGAAGAGTGGTATTAAATCCTGCCAACTACACCAAAAAGAAAAAAGAAAGAAAGAAAAAAGAGTGGTGTTAGTTTTAGCAGAGGGTTTTTCCAAGGGTTCCTAAATTATTGCAGAATTTAAATAAATTATTTAGCCTCATCTATTAAATAAGGGGTAATAATGGCAACTCATGGGGTGGTTATGAGGATTAAATAAGTTCATATTTGCAAGCACTTAGAAAGTTGCTGTCAAATCATAAGCCCGTTTACATACATGTTTGTAAAGTAACACTAGTTCACGTGTTCCCTGCCTGCCCCAACCCCGAGGAGAAAACCAAGGTCCGTAGTAAAGAGCAGAAGACTTTTGACAAGCAGCCAGACCTCCTGAATAATTTCTAATACAGAATCTTCCCTAGGCAGCATGCTATCCCTATCCAGAGATCAAAACAGATCTAGGTCATTTGAGGAAGTAGCCAGGCAAAGGATGTTGAAGCACTGCAGTAAAACTCAGTGTTAATTACGCAGCTAGGAAGGACAGTTTTTTGTGGTTTAAAAGAAAGCAAATTATATGTAGACTAGATAGATACATACATACAAATGTATATATGTATGTACCTGTGTGTGTATATCATATTTATAAGAAACTATTTAATTTTAAATTGAGGATTTTTTTTCAACAGCAAGAGAAGGAGTTACTTCTAAACTAAAATACCTGAAAATTTACAGGTCAGGATGTGTAACCAGCAGGAATTACGATCACTTTACTCTTTCCTCATCACCTCCCCTTGCCAAAAACTATGTATGTACACATAGACATAATTATATCATTTTATTACTTATAGAATAATGCAGTTGAATTATGTTATCTAAAAGGTACTTCAAGTATTCCAGATGCTTTGAGGACTGTTGAAAAAGTGCATGTGCACGTCGATCTCAGGTCCTATTTTTTTCTCCTTCCATCTCACCATGCAGTGTCATAGAGTCCCAGTCCTGCACTCACTAAGCCTTAGGTGGGAGAATTAATTCAGTTCTGTCTCATTAAGTACTAAGCACAATGGCCAAGCGCAGTTGTTCGTGCCTGTAATCCTAGTGCTTTGGGAGGCCGAGGGGGGCGGATTCCCTGAGCCCAGGAGTTCGAGATCAGACTGAGAGCAACATGGTAAAACCCTGTCTCTACTAAAAATACAAAAATTAGCTGGGTGTGGTGACACGTGCCTCTAATCCCAGCTACTCGGGAGGCTGAGGCACAAGAATTGCTTGAACCTGGGAGGAAGAAGTTACAGTGAGTCCAGATTGCACCACTGCACTCCAGCCAGAGTGAGACTCTGTCTCCAAAACAACAACAACAACAACAACTAGTACTGAGCACAAGCATTGAACATCTAGTCTGTGCCAGAAGCATGGCATAAAGCAAACAGAAATCAAATGGTGTCTCTAGGCTCTACCTCTGTTGGCTTGTCTGTAAAATAAGGTGCTTGAATTAGATGATTAATCTCTCTTTTCCTAGCTCTGACTTCTATGATAAGAAGTAAAGCCAAGCAGTCGTTTGTATCTAAAAATCTTCAGAACATTTACCAATAGGTTTCATGATCATGAAACTGCCACACAAATCTCATCACCTCTACTGTGGTCCCTCCAGCACTTGAATCATTAGCAATGTATCATTAATGCTGATAATGCATCATTAATAATGACAGGTTTTTTGTACAGTGCGTCATAATACCGAGAACTCTTCACAACAACCATGGGCCAGAGAGCTCTGGCAGTCTCATTCTTGCTTTTACAGACGAGGAAACTGAGACTGAGAAAGGTTGAAGGTGGCAGAATAAGGACTTGAACTCATGTCTAACTTGGGGTCAGGGCTCTTCCCACCCCTACCACCACTGCACTTATGAAATGCTAGTGGGCATTGCCCCCACTGTGTGCCTACATCTTCTCTCCCATCCACATGAGCAGGGGCAGTCCTATACAATTTCTTTATTGCACACGCAACATTGTGCCCACTGGGCACCTGCTTCACTCTGCACTCAGCGCAGGCCCCATCCCACACTTTCTTGGCAGGGCTGGGAGCTGCTGTGGGGTGAATCAGGGCTCTGTGGCCCAGCCCAAGAGAAAGAAGTTTAATAGAGAGACCTAGGCACAGGCCCTGGCTGCCTGCCCTGGCAGAGGCACTCCCCAGGGCAGAAGCATAAACCCAGAGTTCTTTGTCCATCTTATCCCAGCATGAGCAGGCCCTGAATTGTTCATTGAAACTCCTTGAAGGAAGCTTGCTGTCAATTAGACTTGTTCTGTTTAAGGTTTAGATCTCAACAAAGATGAGTGGGTCATTTCAGTGCTTCTGTGAGTGACTCTGAGAGACCTGAAGCCAAGGCTGCCGGCCAGCCGGCCTCAGCCATCCAGAACATGCTCCCACATTGACCTGCCTGAGGCCAGCCCTCGTGGGATGTTTCCAATAGTAATGATAAAAAATGTGCTTGAGCTTAGGTGGCAGTGGGAATATTTTTCAAAACACAGTCACATTCAAACAAATTCTGGGGCAGGCATGACCAACTCCTTTATAACCTAGGGAAGAGAGATTAGCTATGGGGAATTGGGTCCATGGAACTATTAAGTTGCAAAGTTGAGACAGGAATGCAGATCTTCCATACCTAGCCATATGATCTCTGCATTCTACCAGAATTCCACCACCCTGTAGAGCTGGTCAGGTTTATTTTGGAGACTCTCTCTCCTGCTTCAGGTTCCGGGGCTTGTCAAGAGTCAGAGGGCCGGGCACAGTGGCTCACACCACTTTGGGAGGCTGGCGCGGGCAGATCACCTGAAGTCAGGAGTTTGAGACCAGCCTGGCCAACATAGTGAAACCCCGTCTCTATTAGAAATACAAAAATTAGCCGAAGGGTGCCTGTAATCCCAGATAATTGGGAGGTTGAGGCATGAAAATTGCTTGAACCCAGGAGGCGGAGGTTGTAGTGTGCCCAGATGGAGCCACTGCACTTCAGCCTGGGTGACAAGAGTGAAACTCCATCTGAAAAGAAAAGAAAAAGAGAACCCCTACCTCATCATGAAACTGAGTCCTGCCTTCCTCTGGTGCATGGCATGAGTTCTGAAGTTGCCCTCTTCTTCTCCATCCACCTCATGAAACCTCTGTCTTTCTAAACCAATCATGGCTCCGAGGGAAATTCAGTAGGATTACATGTATTTGCACACAGATGTGAATTGATGAATGTTAACATACTTGTCAGGAATACTTGCAGCATCCCAAAACATAGGACTCTCTAAGGGTGAAATTTCAAGAGCTATTTGTAAGCACACAAAATGCACTTGTCTGCTTACTCCTTCAACTCTCTTCCAGATTCCCTACACAGCATGGAGGTTTGGTGGGATGGAGGGGAAGAGATGCTCAGGCCCAGAACATCTTTGCAGTTCTGAGCCCATGAGCAGTGACAGTAAGAAAAGTGGGCAGATAGAATGCAAAAGAGCTGTGCCCACCCAATTCAAGTACAGACAACAGATTATCCCATGTGACACAGCTGCTGAGAACAAAGTCAGGTTCATGACGCCACAGACCCGTTCCTACCGAGGAGACCAAGGCACTGTGTGCTCCCAAAGTCATCCGAGAACGATTGAACTGGGTTCCCAGCACTGTGAGGCCACAAAGCTCCAGACCAGCCATACTTTTGCCACCCTCGCTCCTCACCCCTGCTTGTTCTGGAAGCCCAGGTGCACTTCTGCAGCAAGGGAGCGCTAAATAATCCACCCCCAGACTCTGGGGCTGTGCCAGGCTCGCGACTTTTCCGCAGGAACCTTGAGGCTCATTGGTTTATAGATTTCCCCAATCAAAAAACAAAGAATCCCAACTACCTCTCCTTTTCATCTACTGTTGTTACACATCTCTCCAGACTGTCTCTGAATCTCCTGCTTCCTTCCCTGCTGTGATTGAAGTGGGCACTTTAGAAGCAGACTCATCTTCTCTCCCGTCTGCTCTGGGCTTTCAGCTTCATGCAGCAGTGCTCCCCCAAAGCCCAGCTATTCCCTCCTCCCTAAGAGTCCCTCCACTAATGCACCATCAAGAACCCCTGCTGCTAGCAAGAGGAATAGGAATGCTAACCTTAGCTGGGCGCCGATCACAGCTCAGGCTCCATGCTAAGTGCTTGTCTTGCATTTCCTCATTTAATCCTAACAAATGAATGACCTAAGTGCTATTTGTGTGTGTGTGTGTGCCAATTTTACAAGTGGGGAAACTGATGCACAGGCAGGGGAAGTAATTTGCCCAAGATCACATGGTTGGATCGTGGAGGAATTGAGGTGTTCTTGCTAATACAAACAAGCTTCAGGGAATAGCCTTGTGCTTTTAACTTTGGAAGCTCTAGAATAAATTCCTTAAAGGGGAATGATGGGATCAAACAGAAAGCACAATTAACATTTTAGATAAATGTTTCCAGATTGTTCCCCAAAATGGTTTTATACGTTATACTTCCATCAACTATGTATGAGAATGCCTGTTGTATCCTTGCCAGTACTGGATATTTTCAATTTTGTATCCCATTCCGATAAATAAGGATTTTGTTTTCATTTTCATTCTTTAGTTACTGGTGAGGAGGAGCACATGTTCATGTTTATTGGCCCGTAATACTTTTCTGCCCAGATATAAATGTTAATAATATGAAACAACTGATTTCCTCCCCAGAATCCACATTTCCTTTATTCCCTGTCATGATCACCCACTAGTTACCCAAAACAGAAATCCAGGAACAGACTCTGGGTCTTCCTTCTGCTCTTCTTTCTTTCTTTTTTTTTTTGAGACGGAGTCTTGCTCTGTCGCCCAGGCTGGAGTGCAGTGGCGCAATCTCGGCTCATTGCAAGCTCCGCCTCCCGGGTTCACGCCATTCTCCTGCCTCAGCCTCCCGAGTAGCTGGGACTACAGGCGCCCGCCACTGCGCCCGGCTAATTTTTTCTATTTTTAGTAGAGACAGGGTTTCACCATGGTCTCGATCTCCTGACCTTGTGATCCGCCCGCCTCGGCCTCCCAAAGTGCTGAGATTACAGGCGTGAGCCACTGCGCCCGGCTCTTCTTTCTTTTCTTTTCTTTCTTTTTTTTTTTTTTTTTTTTTTTTTTTGAGATGGAGTCTTGCTCTGTCACCCAGGCTGGAGTGCAGTGGCGTGATCTTGGCTCACTGCAAATTCCACCTCCTGAGTTCAAGTGATTCTCCTGCCTCAGCCTCCTGAGAAACTGGGATTATAGGTGTGCGTCACCACACCTGGCAAATTTTTGTATTTTTAGTAGAGACGAGGGTTCACTATGTTGGCCAGGCTGGTCTCGAACTCCTGACCTCAGGTGATTCACCCACCTCAGCCTCCCAAAGTGCTGGGATTACAGGCATGAGCCACCACCCCTGGCCTCTTTCTGCTCTTCTTTCTACAGCTAGTCAATCTTGACTGCCCCTTATATGCTTCTGGGATCAACTCCATACTGTCCCCACGATCCCCTAGATGGTGCAGGCTGTCATCACTGTTCTCAGAACAGTCCTTGGGGGATGCTGCTGAGGTAGCTACTGCACAGGCCTTGTCTTGTTTTATTCTCAATAACCTTAGAGTGGGTGCTGTTATCCCCATTGTCCACTGCGTGTTCCCCATCATGAGGGAGGATAACCTTCCTCCACCCCCTTCTCTGCTGCTCCAATTTCTTCCTCTCCTTGTCTTCTTGTCCCCATGTCTAAAGCTTTCACCTTCTGGGGAAGACCACACGCCTGCTTTCAGCCTGCCTGGCCCCAGGGAAGGCCCGGCCGGGTCAGAGAGCCCATGGACAGGCCACATGATTCAGAAGCCGAGACAGTGCTCTGGCTCTGACCAGCTTTCTTGCTCTTTCTAAAGTGGACTTGTCCTCTTCTCCTTTTCCCTGTATCTGCTCACATCTTCCTTTTCTTTACCCCCACTCCCGTTTCTACTCTTATTTTCTCTGTGGCTCTTGCTTAGTATAGACTTTCTTCCTCTGTGTTTTCCCATTTGTTTCTCTGTCAGTCTTTTCTTTCTTCGAGATGGAGTCTCACCCTGTGGTCCAGGCTGGAGCGCAGTGGCGTGATCTCAGCTCACTGAAACCTCTGCCTTCCGGGTTCAAGTGATTCTCCTGCCTCAGCCTCCCAAGTAGCTGGACTTACAGGCACCCGCCACCACGCCCAGCTAATTTTTGTATTTTTGGTAGAGACGGGGTTTCACCATGTTGGCTAGACTGGTCTCGAACTCCTGACCTCAGGTGATCTACCTGCCTTTGCCTCCCAAAGTGCCAGGATTATAGGTGTGAGCCATCGCGTCCCGCCTCCTGTCAGTCTTTTCTAGTCCCACTCATTTAATTGCCTTTTTGTTTCCTTGCAGGGAGAATAGGATCTCAGGGCCCCAAGAAGGAAGTAGCAGGGAAAGGCACTACCTGATCCTCCACTGCAGGCAGAAAACTACTTCTGCTTTCTCTTGCTGCTTCTCGGGGTCAGCATGCAAGCCCAGGTGGGGTCCACCCCACCACAGACCCTTGCCCACTGGCCCTAAGGCTGGCCATTACCGTCACATGGGCCCTCTAATCCGCAGGAGTCAGCGTTCTCACCCCGAACTGCCATGATTCTCTCCCTGCTCACATGATTTCCTTGTGGCCGCTCTTGCCCCCTTTCCTGAAATCAGGAAAAGGACCTTTGCCTCTGAGCGTCAGAAGAGGGAGTCCAGTGGAGCCCACTGAACCACCACCATCTGTGTTTTAGAATCTTTGGTGATTCTGACAATTCGAGTTCTCCATGGATGACAATATCTGCGGCCCAGTAAACTGGTTTAGAAAAACTTCATTAGCTGCCTGCCGCAGGGGAGCAAAGGGCCAGTCTGCCCCTCAGGTTCACCCCACTGTGCTGTTGAGGCAGGGGTCCCTGGGCCCTCCCACCTGAGTCCCGCACCCTTGCTCCTCTCCTCAGATGAGGCTGGGACAGTTGATCTGCAGAGCTTTGGTGTCCCCACAGCAGGGGATGAGTAACACGCTTTCCCTACCCAGACAGCTGCCCTACAGCCTCCTTGTTCCTGCTTCTGGCTCAAGAGCCTGCTTAGATCAGGGTCTCTTCTGTTACACCCGTTTTTACTCTCAATCGGTTTTGTTGAATTTAACTGGGGTTTGGAAGATTTAAAAAAAGTCAACATTTATTTCGTGATTCTCTGGAAGCCCAGTTGCAGTTTAATCTTCGCAACAGGCTTCCATTTCCACCAAGGTTATAGGGTCTTCACCACTGTTCCCTACTGCCTCTTTTTTTTTTTTTTTTTTTTTGAGATGGAGTCTTGCTCTATCGCCCAGGCTGGAGTGCAGTGGCGCGATCTTGGCTCACTGCAAGCTCCGCCTCCTGAGTTCACGCTATTCTCCTGCCTCAGCCTCCCGAGTAGCTGGGACTACAGGCGCCCGCCACCATGGCCGGCTAATTTTTTGTATTTTTAGTAGAGATGGGGTTTCACCATGTTAGTCAGGATGGTGTCGATCTCCTGACCTTGTGATCTGCCCACCTTGGACTCCCAAAGTCCTGGGATTACAGGCGTGAGCCACCGTGCCCAGCCCCATCATGCTTCTTAAGTCTTGGCATGTATCAGAATCACCTGGTGTGTTTGTTAAAATTCATATTCCTGTGAAATCTCAATCTCAAAGAAATAGCTGCATGCCTGTGTTGATGGCAGCACATAGCCACAACTGCCAAGACATGAATCAAGCTAAGTGTCCATCAATAGATAAACAGATAAAGTAAATGTGGTATATATGCATGCTGGAATACTATCCAGCCTTTAAAAAGAAGGAAATATTGCATTTGCAGCAACATGGATGAGTCTGGAGGATATTATGCTGCTAAGTGAAATAACAAGCAAGCCAGAGATCCTGCGTGACCCCTGGAATGTGAACTCTAAGGTAGTCACACAGAGTAGCAGAGAGGAGAATGGTGGTTGCCAGGGACTGTGGGCAGGGGGATTGGGGAGGTGTTGGTCAAAAGGTACATAGTTTCAGTTATGCAAAGTAATTATCTCTGGAGATAAACAACAACAATAAACAAAGCGTGGTGGCTCGTGCCTGTAATCCCAACACTTTGAGTGGCCGAGGTGGGCAGATTGCTTGAGCCCAGAAGTCTGAGGCCGACCTGGGCATCATAGTGGGACCCTGTCTCCACAGAAAACTTAAAAATTGGCCAGGTGTGGTGGTGCACACCTGTAGTCCCAGCTACTTATGGGGAGGTGGAGGCTGAGATGGGAGGATGGCTTGAGCCCAGGAGTTCAAGACCACAGTGGGCCATGATCACAGCCCTGCACTCCAGCCTTGGCAGCAGAGGGAGACTGTCTGAAAAAAATAGGAGAGAGAGAGGCACTACTGATAGAGTATCAAAGAATGTCCACAGTCACCTGGAAAGGCTACTAAAAATATTTGTCTTAGAAAAAATTAGTAGTTGCCAGGAGTTAGGGAGGAAGGGAATGGCTTCAGATATACAAGGTAGCACAAGAGATCTGGGTGATGGAACTGACTATCTTCACTGTGTGGCAGTTACATGAATCTGTACATGTGATAAAATCACACAGGACTAAGGACACACACATATGAGTTCATGTTAAACCTGGTAAAACCGGAATAAAGTTGCTGGATTTTTATCAATGTTGATTTTCTGGATGTGATACTGTACTATAGTCATGCAAGGTGTTACCACTGGGGAAGGGTAGGTGAAAGGCCTGCAGGATCTTTCTGTATTATTTTTT